CAATTCTTTGTATCATTATATATGTAATAAAGAAATAGTACAATTCAACCTATGCAATGGCACAATATGTGTAACTGAATAAATGATACATTTTTTTGTATCATTATATATGTAAACAAGCTCAGAGATGCACCAAGAACACCCCAGCTCAGCCCCTGAGCTACATAAATTCTCTTCCATTGGTATAATTACAGTACATAATTACATAATTACATAATTACAGTATTTGAACCCAGAAAGTTCTGGGGTTTTTTACAAGTCTATCAGGCATGATAAAAATGACCTTTCATTATTGTCCATATTTTCAACCTACAGTTGATGTGTATTTATGCTTTCTAGACAACTGTCTGAAGTCATATACCAACAGTATGTCATTTTATTAAAACCTACTAGGGTGTAACATAATGTTAAGGTCAGTCCTTGCAGCCACATATTTCCTCACTGTCCCAATGGTATACAGATACTCCTCGATCTACAATCGTATTTGAGTCTGAAATTATGATGTTAAGTCATTATGGTTATTAAATGGCTCATCACATGCAGGTAATGGCACTAGATGAAATATTACTTGGGTCAGAGGATAAATTGATAAGAAAGATTTACAGATTTTTATTGGATTATAAGATGGAGGAAGAACAGGTAAAAGAAACGATGTTGGCGTGGGATGAAAATGTCCGGCATGGTATAAATTTGGATAAATGGCAAACTAAATGGGAGAGAAATAAAAAAAACTAACATTGGCCACATCGTATAAGGAAAACTTATATAAAATGTTTATAAGTGGCACTTCCTTCAAGTAAAATTGGCTAAAATGTACCAAAATATATCACCCAACTGCTGGAAATGTATCCAAGAATACGGAACATATTATCACACATGGTGGACATGTAGAAAAACCCAGGAGTTTTGGCACAGAATTCAGAGGTAGTTAGAAGAGATGGCTGGGCACAAAGGAGAGTATAAACCGGAACTTTTTTTACTCGGAATTATAACAGAAAGATACTGAACAAGGAGAGATTTAACCTGAAAATAAGGAGAAACTTTCTGACAGTGAGAACAATCAACCAATGGAACAGAAGTTGCCCTCGGAAGTTGTGGGAGCGCCATCACTGGAGACTTTCAAGAAGAGATTGGACTGCCAAATGGTGTAGGGTCTCCCTCTTGGGCAGGGGGTTGGACTAGATGACCTACAAGGTCCCTTCCAACTCTGATTATCTGTTATCTGATATAACAAAGAGGTGATTTATTTAATAACACATGTGATCACGGCAGCAAGGTTGGCCTTTGCTCAAAAGTGGAAAGACAAAGAAATTCCTGATGAAAGCGAAGTAATTAAAAAGGTATAGATATGTGCCGGGATGGATAAATTAACTTTGGAAATGATAAATAAAGACGAGACAGAATATTATAAAGTATGGGATAAATTTTATCTATGGTGGAAAAAAAGGAAGGATCCAGAATTAAAACAAAGTAGGGTTGGCAGAACGGATAGTTAGAAATTTAAAGTATTGTATAAATGTACAAAGGTATATAAAATATGCATTCTATGCTATAATATGTATGACAAACAGGAATGTCAGGAGGATCACACTGCGTCCAATTTAAAAAACAAAGGGTCATCATATGACCATGCCTGATTTTACTTTCTTCTTTGTGGCCGTTGTTCAGTGAACACCCTGGCTGCAAAGCAAACATTGCAGTTGTTAATAGCAATAGCACTTAGACTTATATACCGCTTCAGAGTGCTTTACAGTCCTCTTTAAGTGGTTTACAGAGTCAGCATATTACCCCCCCCCCCGGGTCCTCATTTTGCCCACTGCGGAAGGAACTGCTGGCAGTGAGCAGTGAGTTATCCTGCAATCCTGCATTCTAACCATTGAGCCACCATGGCTGTTTAAACAAACACCCCATTTATTAAGCAAACCCACTGTTCATTATGGGATGTTGTTTTTCTGCCATGAAAAATAGAAGTAAACAGGGGGTTTTCAGCCAAAAAGTTGTAAATCAAAACCATGCGATTATGAGAAGCTGCAAACATCTGTAAATATGGGTTGGTTTCCAAGCACTCAAGACATCCTTGCTGTTTGTTTAAACAATAATTGACTGAAATGGTCACGACCCAAAGCAGAGGTAGTATTCAACAGGTTCTGACCAGTTCTGGAGAACCGGTAGTGGAAATTTTGAGTACTGCGGAGAACCAGCAAATCCTACCTCTGACTGGAGATTTTACAGTATCCTTTCCTTGCTACGCCCACCAAGCCACGCCCACAGAACCGGTAGTAAACAAATTTGAATTCCACCACTGACCCAAAGGTATTGACAGTGGTGATGAAGGGACAAGGTTAAAAAAAAATCAATATGGTGGCCACCATCATGTGATCAAATGCTCACTCTTTTACATGGGTGTCAGAAAGGGTAGAGTATTCATTGTGTGTTTGTGACTACCATATATTAGTAAAAACACTTAGACTTATATATATCGCTTCACAGTGCTTTACAGCCCTCTCTCTAAGCAGTTTACAGAATCAGCATGTTGCCCCCAATAATCTAGATCCTCCTTTTACTGACCTTGGAAGGATGGAAGGTTGAGTTCAACCTTGAGTCGGTCGGGATCAAACTCCTGGCAGCGGGCAGAGTTTGCTTGCAATACTGCACTCTAACCACTGCGCCACCACAGCTACGCATTCTAGTCAAGGAAGAGTTTTTGAATGCAAACATTTAGCCTGTTGGGTTCCTTCCTTATTTGAGCAAAAAACTATGTTTGGCTCTTGCTAGGGGAGAGTTTTAAAGATTCTGCCATATTCCAGGATGGCTGAAGTAATTATCATTTTGATTTTCCTCCCTCCCTTTCCTTCGTCAGCAGAGTTGTGGGGTAGACAAGTTGAAAAGGGCATATTCCTTTTCAAACTGACCATGAATCCGAGGAGGCCAACGAAGGATGACAGATTTTATAAGCTTCCCTTCCTCCAAAGAAGTTGTTACCTTACGTTATCCCCAACTCAACCCTGTCAATTAAGTTAGGCTAATAGTTTGTGACTGGTCAAAGGCCACCCAGTGAGTTTTGTAGCTGAGTAACCATTTAAATTAATTAACCACCAAGCTCAACAGTCTGGCCACGACACTGTCTCTTTTTAACAGCCTGACAACTGGTGCAACCAGAGCTTTGTCATTGCAAAACCCAGAGTGAGTTTATTATTTATTCTGGCCTGCCTGAGAATCTGTAAATGTGTAAATTAAATGCAAAATGCTAAAGCCGCAGGGGTACAACAAACAAATTTAAATTGTCTGGCTCCTACATTTATTTATTCAATACACTACCCAACTCCTGGCAATTTTGAGTGGATCACAAAGCAAAAAAACAGAAAAAAAAATAACAATAGGACAGAACAATGATAAAGATAAAAGGAACCAAAAAATGGCAACAACAAAAGACACAAAAAAAGACAGACCCACACAACTCAGTAGGGGTCAAAGCCCAGGTTTTTAGACACTCATAAAGGGAGTATCTAAAAACACCAAGATCTGAAGGGCCAAACCTCAACTCAGGGAGAAAACAGTTTTGTATTTTTTCTGTTCACCAGATGTTCATTACTCTAAAAAAGAGGAAGGATCAGCATTCCAGCAGAATCTAAACACAGCTAAAGGCTTTTGGTCCCGTGGATGACTTTAGTAGGAAAGTTGTGTTGAGGCTTAATTCTTGTTCACGGGAAACAAAAAAGAAACAGCCATTCTTAGTTTGGCCTGCTGGATCTCCATGTGGAAAACAATGGTCTCTTAGTGCTAAGATCGAACAGGCTCTAATGGTATTTTGATACCAGCAGATTACAACGACTCATTTGATTGTATGCTTGGGTAAGAATCAGAAGATCTATTAAGATGGTAGCAAAATCCAGATGGTTTCCGTTTCAGAGATTGGCACTGGAATAAAAACAGTGTTTGGAAAATTCAATTCGGTGGTCTTCTTGGAATCCTGCAAATAAAATACAAATTAACGTGGGAGGGAAAGAACTTTTTAAAATTTGATTATTTTAGCATAGAAATGTCAGGTTTCTGCATCCTATGAAAGGACTGTACAATTATGCCCTTGGATTCTATGTCAATCTTAAACCTTCGCTTTCACTGAAAGTGTCAGAGGATTCCCTAGCGCCATCCATTGAAGCCACCTGCTTATTGTTCCAGTGGCAAGAGTTTGGCCAATGTTTGCAAACTGTTCAAATGCTACAGAGGTCTCCAAACTTGGCAACGTTAAGACTTGTGGACTTCAACTCCCTCAGCTATGCTGGCTGAGGAATTCTGGGAGTTGAAGTCCACAAATCTTAAAGTTGTCAAGTTTAGAGCCCCCTGATCTACTATATCACATCTTTCTGATCTTCCAGGACCAATATGGCAAGTCATGCAACAATCTGTAGGGTCAGTGATGTGAGAAGGAAGAGGGAGAAGGAGAGGGGAAAAGGAGGAGGATGAGGAGGAGAGGGAGGAGGAGGAGCAGAAGGAGGAGAAGAACATGAAGGAGAAAAAGAAGAGATGGATGAGGAGGAAAAGGAAGAGGAGGAGGAGGAGAAAAAAGAGGAGGAGGAGGAGAGGAGGAGGAGGAGAAGAAGAAGGTGGAGGAGAAAAAGAAGAGGTGGAGGAGGAAAAGGAAGAGGAGGAGGAGAAAAAAGAGAAGCAGAAGAGGAGGAGGAGAAAGAGAAGGAAGAGAAGGAGGAGGAGGAGGAAAAAGGAGGAGGAGGAGAAAGAATAAGAAGGAGGAGGAGGAGGATAACGATGTTGTAGCTTCTTCTTCTTCTTCTTCTTCTTCTTCTTCTTCTTCTTCTTCTTCTT